GTACAATGATGTGGATCTCCAGCAGATTTTCTCGTTGGAAGAAGACTGACAACGCTACCACCTTACGACCTCAAAATAAAAACCGAGTCGACCAACGATCAATTGAAGAAACTTTGGAGCAAGAGAGAAGAGGATCTGCAAACTTTCTGGTCTCGTTGGTTAAAGGAGTACCTCAATGAACTCGGGAATTACACATTCCACCAAGCAGAAATCACATATTGAAGGAAGGCAATGTAGTTCTACTCGGAGAAAAACATTGTCCCAGGCAACTGTGGACCTTGGTTCACATAGAAGAACTGATCGGTAGACGTGACGGCATCGTGAGGACTTGCTTTCTACGCTTGCCCGACGGCACTGTTGTGAAGCGTCCTGCGCAGCTACTCTACCCATTGGAAGCCACCTAGCGTCATCTGTCGGCGAAGGAGACTGTTGCGACTTCCTTTATTCATCCCTTGCAGCAAAATAGCAGTCATCATCATTATTGAGCCTCCTCACGAGCTGACACTTGGCCTCGTGGGAGCGCCCGCTCACCCTTGTCTTTTTTTTTCTTTAGTTCCATCAAAGCCTTTCATCTGGCAAGACGTGTTTTTGCTTGATGTGAGCCACGCCGCAGCAGAAAGGCTCAGAGGTCCAACACAGGATATTCGTCACCTCATCTTACTATGAAGTGACCATAAGCTCCCCAGCTTGCTTGTTTTGGCAGCACATATACGTACGATCCACAGTCGTGCTGAAACAACCCTCATGAAGCTTTGAGAGCATTTAGGGTCATTGAGAAGGCGTCAAACCCTGAAAAGGATCATTTTTCAATGTAGAATGTGCAAACGCTGGGAAACAACAGTGGAGACAGCACCCGTGGCCCAACTTCCTTGCGTAAAAATTACGGAAACCAGCCCCTTCATGGTCGTTGGCCTTGATTACTGTGGGCCGCTGTATGTGAATCAACAAGTGGTTCGAGAAGGACTTACATCTTTTTGTTTTTGTGCGCCATCACACGCACCATTCACTTTGAGCTAACATCAGACATGATCACCGCCACAACTTTGCTCGCCTTTGGTCGTTTCGTAGCATGCCGCGGTGTACCCTCAATTGTGTACTCTTACAACACCCAGGCATTTCGGAGTTGTGCTAGATGGTTTGCATCTGCACTAAATGCTCTACACGTGTACGCCGCGGATATCACGATACAATGGAAGTTTATCGCAGAACACGCTCCATTGTGGGGTGGATGATGAGAGCACCTCGTTTGTAAAGCAAAAACCGCGCTCAAGAAGTCACTCGGACACAGTAGTCTTAATGTGGAAGGCCTCACAACGGTGCTGTATGAGGTTGAAGCTGCAATCAACAGCACACCCCTCACCTATCTTGGAAGTAAACCTAACGAGCTACAGTCCTTAACTCAATCCCATGTCTGGCTGGGTAAATGCAGCATATCTTGCCCCAACAGTGCCCGTCAGAGCCTCTCGTATCCGTTGATCTGCAACGAAAGGCTCGTCATTGCCAGCGTCTAACAATGGAACTTTGGAAGAGACGGAAACGAGCGTACCTGCTATTGCTGCGGTCGGCACACAATCGCTCGACATGCCCAACAACAAAGCTTCGAGATGGTGATGTAGTGCTCTTGCAAGAAGACACGGCACCAGTGACGTCATGGAAAATAGGTAGAGTGCTTGAGCTATTGCCAGGGAGAGATAACATTGTGCACGCTTGCTCCATCCGTGTCGCCAACAGTTCTGTTGTGAATCGCCTTGTGCAAAAGGTTTGCTTGGTCGAAGCCTCTGATACACCTTGGCCCGCGCCGGATGATGTTGAAAAATTGAACCGGAACGGAGCAACTAGAACGCGCGACACCAGGAAGGAAGAAGAGAAAGCCGAGGACACAGAGCTCTTGAGGAACGGCAAGACAGATAGTTCACCATGAACGCAGAATAAAGTTGCGTTTTCTCTTACAGTTTGGGAGCCAGTCGTTTCGCTATACCATTTATGACCAATAAACATTGTACAAAACTGTATACCACTTTGTCACCTATTTACATGCATGACGAGTGAATTTCATGTGTAATTTACTGTAACACCGTAAAATCCCAACGTTTGATCCACTCATTATTCATGAGGATGTGGCAATTTTTTAAAATTAAAATTCATCTTGCCTGGAGAGAAAGACTATTTTCTGGGGTATTTAACAAGCGAAAATCTTGAAGGAATAGGCACGGCCCTGCGTCTGATGCATTTGCGACGCTTGCCTGTCATGCACAGGTAGGGGAGTTAAGCCCCACCTTGCACGGCCAACGGACCTGTACATCAACAAGACAATACGTCTCTGGCACTGCGTATGTGATGCGTCAGCCCTAGATCCGGCATCCTAATACTACTGGTGATACTGATCTGCATTAATACGGCCCAATTTTCGCTACCCATAACTATTGCGGTTCTGTTGTTACTTTAGATGGCTTCCCGAAGCTCTGTTAGGCCAGGGACAAGGTGAACTTACACTCATCGCAGTAAGGATCCAACAAGGGACACAGCTTGGAACAAGGGCGAAAACGCTCGTTCGTCAGGCCAAACCAATGAAAATGGCCACTACCATGCCCCGTAACAAGATGTTAATTAGGAGGGAAGAACTGTGGCATCCGTGTGATGGCCGGCGCCCACTGATAGAGCTCCTTTCCCACCATTACAGCTACATGAAGAAGAAGGTGCGGCCTGTTGCATCACATCCCCATTAATGGGAGAGCGCATCTTTGTTGAGTTGGCAGTTGCGGCTGCTGTTTTGGTGAGGTCTTAAAGTACAATGGTGATGAGGGCACTCCAGTACACACACAAGTAGACGCCAGTGTTTGTGCTACACTCTAAAAAAAAATGAGTATTTGGGGAGTGTTTCTGCTACAGATCAGTATTAGCCATCTACTTCGAGCACTTTCCTCGCGCTATCACTACAGTTTTGGTAGTTTGCGGTCGCGCACACACGTTATCAGTGTGACATTTCCCGACAAAAGTGGCTGGCGCCGGGTTTTTAAGAACGGAAATTTGAGCAAGTCATGTGACGATTATTAGATGCAAAGCAATTTTTTGACTAGCCTGTCTAACGCTGTCCCTCCATCCACACCACTCCCCTCAACCCAGAAGTTGGAGTGGTGCCAAGTAGCTCACGCCCTCCTAGCAGTGTGCGGTGACGTCTCACCCTCGCCTGCTGCGCGCTCGCAGTTATACTCCGTTTCATACATCATGTGCAACGCTGTCAAAGCTAGCGCTATTGTTTGCGCTGTGTACTGCCGCGACCAAAAAGTAGTGCGTCGCTTGGGGTGTACGAGAATCAATAAATGCTTCTCAGGAAACTTCTAAGCATACATATTTGTCATCGGGCTAAAAAACAAACGCCTGTGTTGTCGGATAAACAATCCAAATATGCGAGTTGGTAATTTATGTTTGTCGCTTTCGTATCGGGTTTTCGCTCTCCGCGCGACCCGCGCCGCCGTTTTTTTTTTTTTTACTTGTTGTGGCAGCTTCGAAAAAATGGCGTCCAGCTCTGCGTCCTCGACCACCTCTCCTGCGCGAATTTTTTCGAAGCTTCGCACATCAAAGCTGTAAAAGCACGCCAAGCAAGTAATTGCAAATGTGTACGCCCGTACCAGGATGCGTTTCCCGGAGAAATCTGTGCGGGAAGTGCTGAGTATTGTGAGCGAGGACACTGGAATATCTCCCCGTACCGTGGCGAAATTGAAGGCGGAGCGTCTGCGTGGGCCTTTGGTGTTACCGAAAAAACGAGCTCGCGAACCGTCAAACATGACAGTTTGACAATCCATGCCATCCGTCTGAAAGTGCAGAGCATGTACGCCAAAAGGGAGATCCCAACACTGGACAGTGTGATAAGGGCTGTCAACGAAGACGACGACTTGCCGAACTTCACGAAAACCACCTTGTGGAGGCTAATGAAGGACATCGGCTTCACCTTTGCTAAGAGAAAACGGAATATTGCGCTAATCGAGCGCAGTGACATCATTGCCTGGCGTCGCGGGTACTTGCGGGCGATCAAAAAATTTCGAGGACAGGGCAGGTGGGAACCGTTATTTTCATATTTCCTTACGCAGCACATGTAGATTGCCTTGATATAACACTTGATGTTAGCATTGCAACTTTATAATCGTAATGGAGAGTATTACATCTGAATTACAACCTGGAAAAAAGAAAATGGTTAAGCAAGGTAATTGCTTGCAGGTCGCATTTCACGACTTTTGTTTTGTTGGGTGGGGGTATTTGCCTCAATCGGTGAGAGTTATTCGCTAAATCTCCGCCGTTTGGTGCGGTAAGCGCTCATTCCCATGAAAGATGCGAGTTACTGGCAGCATTGTTGGGAATTTTGGTGTCTATTTTTGTTTCCATTCGTGCAAAATGATAGCGACGGCCAATGAAATCCTACCGAATACCGCATGTGTGACATGTGAACTTGCCATGAATCAGAACCGACAGCCAAATGCCACCTGCGTGCCGAATTAAAGCGCGACTAAAGAAAGCACTGACGCCGACCGTTTTTTTCCTCGATTGACGCTAAGCAGCTGTTTACGAAAGAGCAGTCAGCATATGAGTGGGTAACAAAGAAAATAGAATATGCATATGAATGCTTTTTGTACTTTTTGGTCAAGTTGTCCTTTGCAGTATTTTCGACTATGGTCATGCCAAGACTCAAGCTACTGCTGTGGGTATGTTTACTTGTGTGCGCTAACTCGTGCGCTCGTTCGTTTTGCTTTGTACAGGTGCATCATCTACTTGGATGAAACATGGGTCAACGCAGGGCACACGAAGGAGTACGTTTGGCAGGACACGACTGTGAAGTCATCGCAAGATGCCTTCCTCAAAGGTCTGACGACAGGATTGGCTGCACCTTCGGGCAAAGGGGCCCGTTTGATCCTCGTACATGCTGGCAGCAGTGAAACTGGTTTCACCGAAGGAGCTGCTGACTCCTTCCGAGCAAAAAAGGGGGCAGCGCTGACTACCACTCTGAGATGGATGACAGATACTTTGAGGAGTGGTTCACCGACAAGCTTTTGCCAAACATTCTGCCTAATAGCGTTATTGTCATGGACAATGCGCCATACCACAGCGTAGCTCTTGAGAAAGCACCTACCAAGTCGACGCGCAAAGCTGATATTCAGCTTTGGCTCACAAAGAAAGGTGTTCCGTGGTCAGAGGACATGGTGAGAGCTGAACTGCTGGAACTTTCCCAAAAGGTCAACACACCCAGTATTGTGTACCGCATCGACACTCTGGCGGCTACCCACGGCCATGAAGTGCTTCGTGTACCACCATACCACTGCGAGTTCAACCCAATTGAGCTTGTTTGGAGCGAGGTAAAGGGGTACATTGCAGCACGGAATACGGGTTTCACTTTGACTGAAGTAGAAAAGCTTCTGCCAGAAGCACTGGCATCTGTAAAACAGGAAAAGTGGCAAAACTGCTGCGCTCATGTAGAGCAAGTTGAAGCTGAAGCATGGGAACGGGACATGATTGTGGATAGTGAAATAGAACCACTTGTCTTCTGCATTTGTGATTCGTGCAACTCCTCCTCCAATGAGTCGGGTGCTCAGTTCAGTGATGACGAGATGAGTGGCATTGAAGAACTTTGCTGACTTTCGAGGAATTTGCGGCCTGTCAGTGGTGGCTTTGTTCACGAGGGTCGACTGGTTCAGCTGGATTGTGGACACCTTTCTAGCGAATCTGCTCGTGCTGCTTCATGCTGAGCTCATTCCCCAAGAAGGCTGTGTTATTATGACAAAGCAAAGAGTGCTTCCTCATCGTGTGGTTTTGTGTGTTGGGTTTAACGCCCCCAAGTGACCCGGGCTAGGAAGGACACTGCACTGTACTGCTCCCTAATAATTACCTTATTTATGTTTTGTTGTGAAGTGCAAACGTTCGGAATGGTCACATGACCTCTGTAAAAACTTGGTAAAAAAAGGAAAAAAAAAGATGTCGGAACCCACCACGACATCGGCCAGAGGTGCTCTTCTGTAAATAAAGTTTGCGTTTTTTAAACCACAAAAGTCGTCATCCGTTTGGAATATTGGTCCATCGCACGCAATGAGTATTGCCCCTGGATGTATGTATGTATGAAACAAATCTCCAACTTTTTGAACCAGTACAATTTTTGGGCACTGAATTACCCTATACCATAAAGATTTTCTCAACCGAGAAAAACAGGCCATATCCAGGTTTTTATAAAAAAAAACGATTGACGCATAAATTAAAATTTAGAGTTTCTGCCGAATAACAGCCTTAGCTGAAACTCTCTTTTGAACGATAAAAAAGGAACTCTTACTTGCGGGAAAAAGGATGGGTTAGAATTATACTGAAGAAATAAATTGCGCATAACAATTCACAAAAATGTCGCATATATTAAGACAGTAAACGGGCGAATACCAAGTCTAGGAAATGTTTTATGCGTTTGTGTGCCAAAACCACTATTCCGAGCTACACAAATTTGCTTTCTTCCCTTTTCCCTGAATAACATATCATTCGTTACTCGCACGAAGTGCGTCGGGATACCGCACAGTGCAGTGGAAGGTCGATTCCGCACTGTTTTGCTAAAACTGAACAGGTTTCTCTGCCGGCGGCCTGCTATAATCATTAAGCTGCTGAGTGTTTAAAGAGCGGCACAGAAAAGTGGATCATCGGGGCAATGACGAAAACAAAAGTTGAAGGTGAGCACCTGTCATTAACCCAGCCTCATTGGAGTTGCTGTGCTACCTAATCAATGAATTAACGTCATCTTACACGCAGTACTCGCTCACATCAATGAGGTAAACCGACAATGCGGTATAATCGCGACAAAATCGCCATGCTGGTCAAACCTCGGTGCCAGCTCAGCAGGTTCCGGCCCTCACAAGGGAACACGGTATGCTACAAATGAATAGATGCGTGCAGTTCACTTCCGCGTGCAAGTAAGTTGAAGTTACTGAAAAAAAAAAAAAAAAACAAGATTTCGAATTGAACTCGCAAAAATTATAAAAAAAATGGCACCACGTGGATTCGAACCTATGCACTTCAAAACTACGGTGAACTCTCCGGAGCGACGCATCAGACCACTCGGCTACGAAACCGCGCGGAGCAACACCTCGTGTTTTCTTTACGGACTACTTGCCTAGCCTTCACAGCGTTGCACCTGATGTATGAAACGGAGTATAGTCATCTTTCTCACTTCACCCTCTCCACCGCTTGCAATGTTCGAGCCCACTTCTCACGTGGGCATCATTTTATCCGCACCACCTCTCTCCATCAGTCCGCGAGAAGAAGCTGTGAGCGGCTGGGTGTGCACGTTGCACGCGCCTCGAGAATATTGCGGCACTGACAATGTGAACAACGCGCAGCTACTTGCCGCTTGATAGCACCGAGTGGCGGGACGCCATCGCGACATAGTTCATGCTAGTGTGCGCGTACCTCTCCCGACTGTCGCCGACATTGCGAAGGTTAGCAAAGCCGATCGTGTTTGCTAATGACGATGTCAACACCAACGAGGCACAAGCCAGGGAAGCCGAATGCAAGCATCGGCAGAGAAAGACCAGCGACACCGACGAGGTGCGAGTCAAGAACACTGATCGCATTCAAGAATACAGATAGCGCACGGGTAACACCGACGAGACGAGAACCAAGGAAGCCGAGTGCAAGCGTCTTCAACGCGTCTCGCTTCCTGTGTCTTAAGAGTTTCAAACAAACATTTACTTGAGTAAATGCTACACAAGGTTTGGCTTCAAACCGTTCTTCCAGCACACATGCCGACACCCGTTTCAACACGGTCAACGCCGTGTGCACCGCTGCTGCTTCGCATCCCATCAGGGTTTCCTTTCAAGGAGATGGTACATAGTTTTTGTTGTGTAGCAGAGCTGCTCCCTGAATACTCCATTTTTTCTTAATGTGTACAATGAAGTCGCCTCAGGTTTTACGAGTGTTTGGTAATTTTTTTTGTCTGTGATTGTGTGCGGGAAAGCTTGCCTCATGTTTCCAGTACTTGAGTATGGTTATTTGGTGCGCGAGTGTGCGGCAGACTTATTTTCAGTGGTGTGATGCCAAGCTGTTGTATGCTGCAGTGCAAACTAAACATGAGAAAAGACGCTACTGTGAAGTATGAGCGATGTGCCCAAGTGTTTGTAGTTCTGCGATGGCAAAATGGAGAGAAAAGAGATGAAATTGGCACAAGAGGGTGAACATGAATGGTTCCTACACCAAGAAAAGGCCACAGTATTCATGAGGACAAAAAGTCGTTACTCCGAGAGAGTGGCTAATTGTTTTGGTTGGTATTGCATTTTTGAAAGAAAGATACTTTATTACTGTGCATGGAACCTTTCAGAAAGAAGACAGGTAAGACAGAGCAGATTGTTTTGTTTCTGTCTAGTTCCTGAAATGCTCCCTGTGCACTAAAAAAGTATATTTCTTTCAAAAATGCCACGTTACTCGGCCGTTGGGTTCTGCCCTCGGTCCTGGTGAATAGCTGAGCTAAGAGCGACTTGCTACGTTATTCGGCCATCAAGCTTAGTTGCCACAGCCAGGTTCACACAAGCTTGTAAAAAAATTCACACTGGACCCTTCAGGCCTGTGAGCTATCGTTAATAATACAACAAGTTCACCACCCAAGCATGAGGAACTTGCTGATGGTTGTAGCAGCAATCGGCATAGTGATCACATCAGACCGAATGACAGTCTTCGGCCTCTTAACTCTGTTTAACCAAAAAGAATACAAACAAGGCAGCTATCACTTGAAGCAGAAACTGAAAGGAGCGCATAACTGTACTGCTTTGCGCCAATTTGGACGGGAGAGACAAGCGCCGCCTCTTTGTCATAGGTAAATCACAAAGGCCACGTTGCTCTAAACAACGAGAATGCCTGCCAGTGACCTACAAAGCCAATAAAAAGGCATGGATGATGCAGGATTTGTTCACCAGCTGGCTCTGCAAGTTTGATGAGAATATGGTGGCGGAGAAGCGGCGGGTCGTGTTTATCCTCGACAACTGCACGGCCCACAACGTCAAGCCAAAGTTGACTGCAGTCAACCTAAAGTTTTTGCCTGCCAACACTACAGCAAAAAGTCAACCTCTCGGCCAGGGTGTCATCGCAACCGTAAAGGCGCTGTACAAAAAGTGCATTTGCGAGAGAATTTTGCTGAGCATGCAGCAGCAGCAGCCTCTTAAAGTGAACTTAAAAGGCGCAATTGACATGGTGGTCGCTTCATGGAGGCAGGTAAAGGTCGATACCATAAGGAAGTGTTTCAAGAGGGCAGGCTTCGTGCGCAATGCAGAGGCTCTGGAAGACGATGAGCAGAGCGACACATCGCTCGCCGACGAAACCCTCAACACTGACGACGTGTGGTCCTGTCTCGTTGACAGCAACTTTGTAACCGCCACCAACACTTTCCAAGAATTTGTCGATGCCGGGGAGTCGGAGCTTTCTGTCTGCGAGGAAGCGAGCACAGATGGCGCGATCGTCGCAGCGGTGCGCGGTAGTGCGGAGGTTGCAACGGACGACGAGTCGGACGGCAAAGACGATGTCGACCCGACACCAGAACCAGATTTCTCGTGCAAAGACGCAATGGAATACCTCGCTAAAGTGAAAACGTACTGCGCGAAAGACTGAGAGAGAAATCACTTCAGTGTTAAAACTTTGTGGAGGACGAAATTATTCGCAGCGCTGTTCGCAAGCATCGCCAGACGAAAATAACGGCGTCTTCCGCTGATGCCGGACTTGAGAACTTTGTTTTCGTGCGGTGTTGTAATTGTGTTGAATGTGTCTGTGAGTGAAAAGTGTAGTAAATTGCTTTTGAAAGGTGCGTTGCCCTTTTGACATAGACAAAGGCCAAAAAAAGCATGCTTTGGTTATAACGCGGTACCGCTTATAGCGCGGATTTTTACAACTCCCGTGACTTACGTTATAAGCGGTCTACACTGTGATAACTTACCTACTGCCCAGTGAATAGACGATAAAAAGAAAGCAACCAGACCGTGGCATACAAGGTCTGCACACTTTCTTTCCCACATGCGAGGCCTTTGCCATTTCCATGTCGGGAAACATTCTGTATAAGGGAGCACTTGGGTTGCTGTTGCCAGCTTGCTCTCTGCCTCTTTTCTCTAAGTGCTTATATATCTATCTATGCGAATCACTTGTGCGCACGGAGGAACTGTTCGAGAAGCGAGAGGTGACCACCTTTTAAGCCTTCAACATCTTGGCTTGTCACAGCGTTGCGAGCCTTTGAGGTGGTATTCAAAATTTGAGGTCAGCGTCTGGTCAAACAGCATTGTCACTCTCACAAGGCGTCGCATGCTTCATCATGTTGCTGCCTGCTGCGTTATTTACATTGCGGTTGTGCTGTACTCTACTCTAGTAGCTCTTTCGTACAGACTCTAGTGTTCAGGAGAAATTGATAGATTGATTGATTGATACGTGACTCTTAATGTTCCAAAACCACCATGTGATTATGAAAGATGCCGTAGCGGAGGGCTCTGGTGATTTCGACCACCGGTGGTTCTTTAACTCTTTCAGGATCGCGCCCATAGGCCGTCGATCACATGTGATCGATGGTTTCGCGCGCCTCCAGAATAAAAATTTTTGCTCAATGGAACACCTGCCGCCATCTGTGAGATAGTTT